CGCGGGGCCCGCCGCGGTGTTCAGCACCGCCCCTCCCCCGCCTTCCGACTAATTTTTTCCCCCCGCCCTCCAAGTTGGGGGTTTTAGAAGAAAAAAGAGCACATCTTTGAGAGAAAGCGCTGTTCTTTGTCTGACTTTAGAGAGTAGATCTAAGACAGCTTTAACAGGAAACCCTGCGTGAGGAGTAGCAGCTTTTTCACGTCGTGGCAGCTGTAAATTTGATTTAATCACCCGCAACTCTGGCACCATTACTATTTCTTTGACCATCGTTTTAAGGTAGTTACTGCCTCATGAGGGTGAAGGGTTAGAAAAATGCTCTATCAGCAATAAATCAGGAATTTAGCTGAAAAAGTATAATGAGAAGGCATTACCAAGTAACAGCTCCGCTGTGTGATGTCCCGGGCAGTAACCACCACCTCCATACTGGTCACAGCTCCAACAGCAAGACAATAACATCCAGAAACTACAGCTTTCCTGAAGGCTGCTCTCCACCTCAGCTAAACCTGCCATGAAATAAGCCTTGCCCTATGCCAGGGTCTGAAGGCAGATGTCATTTTTCATGTGACTGCTGGCCTTTAGGCTCTCGTACCTTTCCCTAGTCAAATACCAGAGCAGATTTATGACTTGACCTCAGGAAGGAAGAAGCAGTTTCTTCCAAATGGCCACGGGAAGAGCAGAGATATCAAGGACATAGATTTGGATAACTGATCATGGAACAAAAAAACCCAAAAAAACTACACATTTAACTCATCTAAAGACTTCCTTGTTAGGAAAAATGACTAGTTTATTTTGCTAAAGCCTTATGAACAGCTCTAGCTGTCCTACTATGTCAACTGCTCCCCTCTACACATTTTGTCTCTTCTCTGTTAACAGCTCTGAACACACCTAAGCTAGCTGTTATCATAAGTCAGCTAAAAATGAGGTTAAAAAGGATCACTTGCTGCTTACACATTTTAAAATGTTCATAAACACTAATGTCCTAGTCCCAGAAGGTATTTAATTAGCTAGGTGACACAGAAGCAAATAAGAACAGAATGCATTTCAGTCTAGCTCTACTATACTCTGCTTATAGTACTTGGACTATTAAAAGACACTTGTCTTTTGCCACCATCCTTTCCTTTTCCCCATGGTCCCTTTCACATGCACACTTTCATTGTTTAATTTGATCAAACTGCAGTTTCCAAGTGGTATGCATTGGGATATTTTGAAGACTTTAAAACATTCTCTCCCACATATTACAAGCCATGGCAAGGTAATGATAAACAAAGTAAATCGATCCATCTGTTTAGTATTTCCAGGCTGAGCAGTAAGAGTAGATCCATCCTATACGATCCATCCTACACTGTATAATTGACAGCAGGGTAGTTTTGCCTTTAGCTTCAAGACTGGCTGTACACTGTGCAGATGGAAAAAAAAAAAATCAGATGCCATTTATGTTTTCTACTAGTTTCCAAATGAATCGGGGTCAGATGCAACATGTATTTTTGGTGAGCTTAAGATGTAGGAGAAAATGCGACATTATCTTTACTGAAATAGTCATCACTAGTAAAAGTGAGTATGTCAACAGCTGCATGTCACAGCTATTTCCCATTTTCAGTAGGCAGGAAAGTGGTGGTAAAACTGGACTAATTGTTGACAAATGTTGAGCTAGAGGTGTCAGATGGAGGAGGTATAGGATAGTAAAAGGAAAGTATATGCAGGCTGCTACAATCTGTATTCAGCACTAGCCCATACAAAACAAAATACAACTTGCACACATGCACGCACACACACACAGTCTGAGCGCCATTGCTAAGAAACATGAGCGTCCTCTCAGTAAGTGTTCAAAATGCTCAGGGTAACCAGAACAGCATTGAGTGCACAGTGTTAGAAATTATACTGTATCATTTTTGCTTTTTATTTGAAAGAAATCAAGGTTTCCTTCTCCTTTCCCCTTCTGTGATTGTCAGCAGAAGAAGGAAGCAGTAACTTCAGAAAACAAGAAACAAAGAAGCCCTGAAATATACAACGGATTCCAGAACGTGCATTCAGAATTCATCCATTATCTCTGGCTCAACAACTGGAAACACTCAAGTGCAGAGGAAGGTAAGTCTGAGCTGCAGTTTTCCTTCAGATGAACATACACATTATTAGCACAATTGACCTCTGATAGGTTAAGTCAGATAGGTATTTAAAGCAATATCATATAATAACCGTACCAAGAACAATGCAGCATCTTTAACTCCACTTGAATCAACTCTACTGCCTGTATTGTGAAGAACAACTGTGGAGAGTACGCCCTTCACCAGGTATTTTCCATTAGCACAACGTACAACCATTTTAACAACAGTCAGAGCCAGAGCTAAGTTCCTTTGTGGTAGCAGTGTAGCATTGTTTACCCAGAACCTCAAATGCATTTCTAGTTTCCCCTATTAAAAGCACATCTTTCAACTGAAGGTGACAAAAAGTAAAGGAACTGGCCATGTATTAAGTCATCAGGCAGAAATGGGACTCACATGAAGGAACAAGCCTATCCTTGTTCCTTTTTTAGTTTTCCACAGCATTGCAGAGATCAACAAAGCTGTGAAGTTGAAACAGCTTTTGTAAACAGTATTTGGAAGGCGGGTAACACTAATTGAATTCTAAAGGAAGCTGGTTTGATACCTCATTTCTAAAATATTCAGTCAATTTCCAAGTGTTTTACACCTGGCAAGCTTGATTACAGCACTAAAGTGACCGTGTGGGCAAGTACAGCCACACACTGATTGCAGTCATTTCAGTCAGTGAGAACACCACACACTCAGCTCTTGGACAACGAGCGCTTGAGCAAGTGGAAATAACAACACTGGCATGGATACCAAATTTGTGTCCTCTCTATTGAGGATATCATGCACCAGAAAACATTTCATATTTTAGGTACACCAACCTATCCTTATGCATCAAAAAAGCCAGGCGGGAAGAGACACTGTGTTCATGTTATTTATAATCCTTTAAAATCCTTAAAATTCAGCTGAGAATCTTTGAGGACAGTAACCGTTAAACAATCCTTGAACATCCTTATGAAACGGGCATTATTCCTCTCGGAAAAAATGAGGTCAGAGGTTATAAAACAAATTGCCACAAGTTACACAGCAAGTAGGTGCACAACAAGAAACTGAACTGCAATTTGGAATCCCCTTAACTTTAAGGTTACTACTCATATTTCACATTAGACATACCTTGTTCCAATACCTTGCTGAATTAGAACTTATGCTGCTATTCAAAATGCTGGATTAGTTTACATAGCTGATACTAGATAGATTAAAAAAACATGTAAAATATGGCATCAATTAACATAAAACAACTTCATTACACAGTAAAATGAGATTTTTTTTCTCAACAGCATGTGCCAGAAACAGTAAAATTCTATGCTTTGCATTGAACATGTTACTCAAAAAAAAATCATACCTAGACTATTATTTGATCCAGTCAAACTAAATATCTGTGCATGTATATACTTTCACAATGAAGATTTCTCTGTATTTATTTATGATTGATGGCTTGTCCAAATATTTTCAATTAATGGCAATTAATTCAAGTAGTTGAAGCCAATCTTTAATGAATGACTCTAGCCAAACTAGGCTTCAAGTGTACTGGGAACAAATCAGAGTCATCAATTTAAAAAAAAAGGACTTGATTAGGGTTACAAATATTGTTTGCAAAGGTCATCTCAACATGTTTGGGTAACTGCTCATCATCACAGGATACTCCACTTTTGAACATTTTGTTTATCAAATTAATTACCATATTAAATGAAAGAACAATCAGTCCACATCTTCAACGTGAGATACTCCTTCCTTCCTTTCTAGATTGAACACCTGCAAGTTAACAAGAAATGGATTCAATGATAAAAACAAGTTTGTATTTAACAACTTCCGCATTTCACACTTCCAACACAAGTCAATGTAGAGCCTAGATTCAGCTGGAACTGACAGTGGGACATGCTCCAGGGAACAGCTGAGCTGAACAGACTGCTAGTTGCAGTCAAAAGGGAAGGTCAAACCTCTCTCTTCCCTGCAGGCTGCATGCTCCCATCCGCTCCTACTTTTCTGTTAGTTCAGTGAATTGATTTGGCTGACCAAGAAGTGAGACAAGTCCCAAAGCCATCTTAAGAGAAGCCTGGAGAGACAGGGAAGGAGGCAAGCCTGCCCTTTTCGAAGACAGTTAACTGTCAGATCAGATCAGACCCTCACCTAAACCCTGTCCCTAAAAGAGAGCCTAGAATCATTAAAATAAACAAAGGGAAACACTTCTCATACATACACACAAACAAGTTACAATTATAAAAACTGACCTTCACTGTTCTTAAATTTTAAGACAAGGGAATACGCTATGTTTAGATAGGCTGTTGTTACAACCAGTAATATAAATAGTTTCCGAAAGGCTTAGACAAACTCACGGACTCAAACTCAACAGCAACAATTAAACATGATGGTCTGCATTTTATCTCTGACTTCTGTAATCCAGTGTTATGTTCCCCACAGCCTATAGGGATACATAGAGAGAATCATACTATAAATACACTATTCTTTTATTTTTTCCTCAACACCTGCTACTGGTCATGAAACAGATGCAGGAAGATTCTCAGGTTGACAGACCTTTTGATTTGACCAAACATGGCTACTCTTGTGCTGTGTCCAGTAAGCACATGAAAAAGCAGAAAGCTGACTGCAGACATCTAATCCTTGGGGACAGTTGTGTCAGCTTTCTTTGGAGTCATGTCACCGCTCTTTCAAATTATGCCAACTATTAAAAGCTCAAATAACATTTTGGCACCTAGAAACCGTTAAAGTACATGTTCTGGCCACACATCCTTTCGCCCACATGCAACTCTAAGCCAGAAACCACAGGCAGAGCCACTGGAGTTCCTGGGATGGCCTTAAACTACTATAAATTTCATCATCCATAAGAAGCCTCAAGGCAGGAAAAGCTGAGTGACATTAAGACCCAAGTGCAGTCTGGTTAAATGCCAGCGAATGCTAACACCTCAACCTCCTTCTCTTCACTCTTTGCCTTCTACAGCAAATACTGACAGTTTTTGCACTTGAAAGAGTAGATAACTGGCTTGACTATACATACTACAGATATCCCGAGTGGAAAAGTACTTTCCACAAATCCAAATTCTATCATTAGCACTCAAACTAGTTTCCTTTCACAAATGAGTGCTAGCTGTAAAATGACCGTTCTACTAGAAAAACGGTCATTACCTAAATAAAGTTTGTTTTTTTTTTTCCTGGCAAAACTATGTCACTTAAGAGTGTATGCTACATTATCACATTCTTGTTTCTATACCAGAAAAACTTAAGTGAAGATTAAGTCCCTGGAGCACAATTATCAGTGAGACATTGTCCAAAAGAGGGATTATCTTCAAAATTACAGTTGTGCTGAATATATGTAATAAGTGGAAACTCTGACAGCATTCCCTTTCTTGAATAGGACATATGTGACTCACATTATTGCAAGTCATTATTTGCCAGTCCTGCAAAAAGCCTTCCATAGTAGTGAGTTACCAGTTCAAGTTACTGCTTAAATACTGTTGCCCAGATAATGGATTCTTCCCAAACTTGACTCCCACCTTTCAGGAACAATTTGCAATGGCCAATACCCTTGCACGCACAGTTAATACCACACAGAAATCTAGTTAAAGACTGTAATAATATCCTGGATCATTAAAATATCATAATGACATTTACTGTATACATAAAGTATTTAAATTTCAGTCCTAACCCTACAAAACTATTTTACCCAACTCCCACTGAAGTCAAAAGAACTTCTGTCCTGAACTGCAGTGGAAGAAAGCCCATAATGATGGAAAAAACATTCAAACCTACAAAAAGAAATGCAGCAGCTTTAAGTGGTAGCTTTTATCCTAAGCTTCAAGGGAATAAAATGTTACGACAGCATGTCTGCATTTCACAGTGGAGGGAATATTTTATTACATATATAAACATATTTTTAAAAGCAACTGAGGTGTAAAACCTCTGTCAGAAAACTCCCTGGACCTTTGCCATAAAAAATGCATTAAAATAATTTTGAAGGTGTCACTGAAAATTACAAAAAACTAAGCAGATCACAGTTCAGATAACTGCTTGAGCCCCTTCACACCTCACAGCACCCAAACTAAGCACTGAACTACCACGTCGTGTTGCTGTATTTGGACAAACGTATTTGTGAGTCAACTGACTAAGTTCAGAGAGGTGGGAAAATCATTTGCAATGAATTGCTAGCTCTTACTGGTTTCTCCCCACACACATACAGGTCAGGTCCTAATCCCGCAATTAGATCCCTTCAGATAGGCCCTGAACTGATACTGAAACACATAGCTTGTTCTCCGTATTGGCATAAGACTTCATGAGTATGGACTTAACTGTTGGTTAAGTACGTTAAACTGTTGGCCTTAGTACGTATATTCTTTCTTTCTTCTTGCTTTCCTATCTACATGACATGCTGTATTGAATGATGAAAAAAGAGCAACCAACATTACCTTCAGAGAATCCTTAGGCTCACAATTACGCAAAAAGAACAATTTTAACTATTTCTGTATTAGCTATTATCCTGAATGTTAATAGTCTTTTGGAGGAGATTTACTGGAATTGAGTTTGTCCTGTTGTGAGGACTTCAAATATAAAATCATACAAGAAGAGGATAGCGTTTACCTGTTTATCTATACACCTAAATTGCCAGGACCATGTAGTGTTATAAAGGAAAGGCCTCAGGTCAAATCTGTTGTCATCCGGACTGTAGTTTTCAGCATGGTAGGCAGGAGTGAGAGTGGTCATTTTATGCCTATTAACGGAATACATCCTGAAGAAATGCTTAACCTTTGATGCCACCTGGTGTACAAAGAATATAGCTTCCAATCAGCTGAAGTTTTAGTATTTAAAATTTTGGAGGAGAACAATACTGTGGAGATTTATGTATCTGTTTTCTTCCATTGACATTTTATATAAATTAGCTACCACTACTAGTATGAACCACTATGGATGACTGTGTATGTAAGAGGCATTTAGAGACCATTTCAGACAGCACACAAGTCTGTGCTTAACATTTAGCAATGAGAAAATGCCTTGCAAGTCATCTCAGAGTAAGCCGTAGCCTCAGCAGTTCTGATTGTTGCAATTTAGGTGACAATTGGAACATTTTCCTTTCTGCACAAAAGCAAAGACTGCGTCACAGCAAAGCACATCCCTCTTTGGTGTAGATATGCTAAGCATTTTTCAGAGCAAGGCGCCACTTTGTCTCAGAATACATAATCAAAGGCTTCAAGAGTAGTTGGCCATATATATTTCAAAAAACAATTTTCTCCTGAAGATGTACATCTGTAAGTAATTGTTTTCAAAGAACCCAATTACGAGTCTAACATTAAATTTGCAACACAGACATCAGCTACATTCATTTAAGAGATCAAGAACAGTTTTTCCAGCATATTCTGTTACAGTTGCAAAGTATTTCTAAACACAGAAGAATTAAACCATTCCTTTCAGGTGAAAGGAACTCTACTTGACCTTTCTCCAAACATGCACTGTGTTGGCAAAGGTATTAAAAAGTTTGTTTTTCATTTTAGATATTACCTCTCTTGGAGTACTGATCTCCTTCCAGATATTAATCAGCTTACAGAACATACTGTATGGTCCAGCCTTTGCAATTTTTCTTAATTTGCCATAGACAGAGAGCTCTGCATACGTCATCCCCATATCTGCCTGAAATCACACACACGAAAAGCCACTGAAAATCTTAACTATGCAAATTAGTAATAATTCTATAAGCAATTGCAATAACCCAGTTAATCAAAGAAATACCAAAATGAAAATGCCTATGATCAAAATAACACAAGAGTGAGCGATGTTACTGAGCAGAAGGGAAAAAAACAGGACCTCTCTGAAAAGGGAGATTCAAAATTCTTACAGGAGTACATTTCATTAAAATCTAATTAAGCTACCATTGCCTTCCCAGAAAACTTGCAATATCCTATAGCCCTCAGAGGTAGTTGCTAGGCTCACCAGTCCTTTTTCATCAAAGTGGGTAACAAAGACAATAGGGAGGGAGTAGAGGTTTGTCACCAGTCATTTTGAAAGCAGTTTAAGGCTCTGACTCTATTTTGATGTTAAGAAACTTTAGGAGGGACTGGATTTCATAACATTTCAAAACATACATCCTTTTAAGTGCCCAAAATATAAAATTATTCAAAAAAAATTATTTGCTATTTCAGAAATTGTTACCAACACAGACAAGGCTGGTGTGGGATACTAGTGCCTTGTCAGGGGCTTAAAGACTGTTTAGGATTAGGAGGAGACACACTTGTCAATAAACAGAATACAAACAATAGCATGTTATTGGACAAGAAACAAGTTTTGGGATAAGGCTTACCAGAGCATTTTAAAGTCACTGCCCATTACCTCATCAGTTTGAGACAACTGTCCATCCACCAAGGGCTCTAACTCTGCAGTAGGAGGAGCTGACATTATACTATAGAAGGGAGGAGAAAAGAAAAACATGAATTCTACCCAGTCATATTAGTAGACCGACAGGTTTGTTAAAAATCAAATGCCTCACTCCAAGTTTGTTCAGGGCATAAGCTGAAAAATGACTAGATAAATCTAAAGCAGCACAGACACTTGCAAGCTGTTCCAGGTTTAAAAAAATCAATGCTTATACCAACACCATATATTATCATCTGTCCAAACAGGGACAACAAATGGAACGAAGTCTTCAGAATTAAGCTGCATATGCACAATCACTTCTACAGCTGAAGTCTTGATAACTGGTGATTTTTGCAACTGTTTTAAACCCATAGCTCTACATTCACTCAAAGCCTGTCCAGAAGGGCCCTGAAATGAAATACAGCCTTTCCTACAGCAGATTTTGATTAGCTTCCCATGCAGTTCCTTCAGCGGAATTAACAACGCAAATTCTTGTGTAGGGTAACTCTCTAGAATGGTAGTGTTTTCAGCACTTAGCCATTTAGGTGGTCCTGTACAAGTGTAAGCAATCATTTAAAGACAGAGGGATGTGCAGAAGACTTCTTCATTAGCATCTACGATATCACTAATGGAGCTAAGTTGCAGAAGAGAGATCAAAACCAGGAAGTCCACGATATGCAGCACAAAATACAGGAAGTCCCCAATCATCAATGTTTCACTACTCACCTCCTGAGGGATGTGAGCTGAAAATTTTCAATGCAATATTGTATGAAGTTTTTCAGATCACTCTTGCTGATTCCACCAATTGGATTGATATCAGCACTTGAACAATCATACTTTGTCAAGTAACCTCGGAGACTGAGCAAGAGAAGAAATTTTATATAATAATAGTATATAATTTATGTAATAATAGTATATAATGGTGTCATATTATTCCATATATATGTCATACATACAAATAGTTTATATTATATATAATATGCATTTGGTATAAAGACAGGGACAAACAGATATACATTGTTAACACTTTACTATTTATATGTAAGGGGCAAACAGGTGTTCAGCTGCAACAGAGCTATCCTAAAGCAATAAAATTGCCAAGGGGAGGAAGACTGTATTTTGAACGCTTAAGAAGCGCTGTGAAATTGGCCATGCTAAGGTAGTATATTTGGTGCAAAATAATTAAATACTGCCTTGACTCCCCCCAAAGACCCAAAACCCCTACAGAATCAACGCTTATTATACTCTCACCTTTTGAGATTATCAGTCCCACAGTCTCACAAGGATTGCATTTATTTTTGAGCAGCCAACTCTAGTAATAGTACTTCAGATTTTTAAAGTCTGTTTTCAACTTATAAAGTTCAAAACTTAATTCCTAATAGAGTAGTTGAAAATGCACCAAATAACAAATAGGAAAGCTAACCTGGTAACTGCACAGGTAAGCTCTACTGAAACTTGCAAATGAAGGAAGAGCAGTTTATTGGAAAACTGTAGCAATATTTCAATTCTAAACTTCTGAAAAATACGCCATTTGCAACAGAGTCGATTCAGTTATTTTCATTAAATCTACTGCCATCAGTATATTCTTAGCTTCTGGTCTCTTCTGAGTACTAATCTGCATTGGGATTTGTCAGAGTTGCAACTAATTGCAGTGACCTGTTTCCAATTCACTCGGTTTTAGACTTCTAACATTCACCAACCTTTCATCCACATTGGATGATCCTAGCACCAGAAGTCCCCCTGGCATCCCACGAGTCCAAAGGGTCAACTGAGCAAACAGATAGGCAAGGACCATTCTTATTCTAGCCTGCAAAGCAAAATGAAAAATGAAGCAAGTGTACAAAGCAAAATAATGTTTCCCCATTCAAGCACAATTCCAAGTCAGTTTAATTAACAATTCCCTAAACAAACCCAGAAAGAACATAACATGAGAGGGTTAAGCGTTACTGCAAGAAGAATGGCCTTGAGGACAGGATCCTGAACACCCATTTAGGAAAACTAAGTTCAGTGTCTGACACTGCCACAGACTTATGTGGCTAGGCAAGATGATTCTACTCTGAATTGTAAAACAGGGAGCAACTGAGATTCTCTCCTTCCCATAAGCACTGGTAAAGATTCATGAGGAATGAAGCATGCAGATAAACCATTTGAGACTAACACACCCTTTTTTGAAATATTAGGCTAAAGAGATTTAATTATAAATCTCTTAACATATTGTAAACAGTTCCCTCTGCCTCTGTCTTCGTTCTAAAACTCTACTTTTCTAAGGATGGTAATAGTACTAAATTGAGAGACCTGAAATTCAATCTTCAGCTCTAGCCACAACTTTGTGTGACATTAAGCAAGTCACCACACTCATCTGTGACTGAGGCCTACCCCACTGCCAAAAAACTAACAAAAGATCCAACGTCTGCTTCCACAGAAGACTGATGGAGTTTTCCAGTAACTGCAGGGAAAGAAAGATCAAGTCCTTGGCTAACAAACTGTTAAAGCTCATAATCAACACTGTTTTAGCCAGAATTAAAGCAGCTTTGTTGGTGAGATTGGAAGCTGCTAAACCCAACTAAAGACTGAATACGTTCTGATGTAAAAAATCTTTTTCTCACCTATTTTCTAAAACTGAGAACAACTAAGAATTGGAATGGGTAAGCTTGACATCTCACATAAAGCCTCTTAAATGCTGATAACATTCAGCTTTTTATAGGATATAGAGACATAGTGTTTCCTTCCAACCATCCTATGAGGTTTTAAAAATCACAAGAAATAATTATCTTGGACCTCTCCCAAGTTACATCAGATTGTGGATTTCTGCTGCAGAGAGGCATTTAATGGAAGCCCACAAAATCTTCAGGGACACACCACAGCAAGTTCAGGTCTTCACAGACAACTAGCGAAAGGTCCTATTGCTACTTACTATTTTGTGTTATTCCAAAAGAAGGATCTAATCAGATTTAGCCTACATGAAACACACCTGCACATTCTGGAGTGCCAGATTTTCTCTGCTGCTCCCTCCGTAGACAGAAAAACGGGGACTTCGACCTGTCACCATGCTGAAAATTCCCACAATAGCTTTCACAGCCACATCTATGTTCAGATTGATGTGATAGCTGAGAAGAATTCAAGCAGAAGTGACTCAACTAGTGCAGTCCGACTATGTAAAACAGCATTTAAAGAAAACATAAAAAGATGTTTTAAGCCTGCTACCATCTCAGATCTAGTTTGAAGAGCCTTAGGAACGCATAACACTTTCCACAGTCTGTTTCCAAGTTCCCATGTCCTTCACCAAATGCTAAGTGTGCTGCACATTTACACGAATTATGATGTGTGTGATACTCCTACTTAACACATTTACTCCTGCTTACACGTTTACTCTCCTACACGTTGATTGTTCAGAACATTTGAAAGTTTTGTATGAAAGTCTTTGCCAGAATATGATTTTTTTTTTTTTTTTGCCAGCACTTCCCAATCTGTACCTGCCTATTTGCTCAGCCAGAAGTTTAGCTCTGTTGCAGGTATCCTGGGAGGAGTTCTCACTAGCCATATAGCAAGTGGTGAAGATACGCCTGCAAAATTCTCGAGGATCCTCAGGGACATAAGTCTCATCATTCACAATCTTACGCGCATCAGCCAGCACCTCTGCATCTGAGGACAAAGCAGAAGAAATGGAACAAGAAAGGAAATTGCTGTGCTCTTCTTACCTAGGATATGCAGATATCTTATACATGTTTCTTTTATTCCAATACTCCATTTTTACGGGATCGGCTAGAGAATCTCACAGTGTTTTAGAGTATTCTACCTAAAGTTTACAGTCCCCCTCGCAAATGAGGTAACTTTATCATTTAACTCTCCAAACATGTTTTCACATTTCAGGAAAAGAAATTTGGCTTCTAATTTCGAACACAGAAGTTCGAAATCCTGTTGTTCTGCACCTTAAAGAATCTTGATGTAAAATACAATTCGGTATGTATAAAGGGTTAGCTAAATGTATAGGGGCTAATTAAATGCACTTTAAGAGCTTGAACCATCTCCAATTGTGTTTTGCAGTGTCGAATTTAACAGAGGAAAAATTTTCACAACAAACCAAAATGCCAAAACTAAGTCAGTCAATATTCTGGACAATACTCTAAAACTGGTTTAAATTTCACAGTCAATCCCCAAAGCCCAAATGAAAACTAAGCCAATTCAGAAAACTTGAAATCTGGATCTGTGCTTTTGCTGGGATTTCTGAAGGGAGGCAAAGGATTCCATTGGAAAAACTAGGCAAGAGGCTACATTTAATGAACTACATATGTAAGCATCTGGCCTGTGCATCTATTGCATCTAGCTAATATTAATCTGTCCTTAATCATTAAGGAGAATGGCTAGCGAGACATGCACATCTACTTACTTCCGTTCTTGACTGCCAGGCAAACCTGGTGACACATGGAATATACTATGCAAGCTGTAGCAGAGCTGTCAATTCCACCACTAAGAGGTAGAAGAAATCCTGCCTTGAAAACAAAGCAAAGGAAGAAATTCCAAAAAGCACCATTGGGAAGAAATGTATTTTACCACTCAAACACGCTCCTGTGAAAGAACTGCATATGCATTGTTCAAGTCTGCTGGAAAAAAAAAAAAAAACAGACCTAGCAAACCCTCTCAAGCTCAACTGGATATCCAAAAATCATCATCTGTACTATCAACTATCAAACTATCAACTGGATAACCAAACAAGGAGTCAACATAAATCTTTTGGCTAGACAGAACACCAGCATGTCTTTACCCTCCAGTAAGGCAGAAGAGCTAATAAAAGGACCAAATCTTTCACATGCAGTTCACTACTAAACTGAACCAGTATTTCATGTCATCCTGCTTATTTTAAACACCAACTCCATTATGCCATTTTTCTTACTAAAAAAAAAAAAAAAATCAATGTTTCAGAGAGAAATAAATTCCCTTTAGTAAGTAAGCTTGACTACTGCTTTCAAAGGAAGCATAACTGAATCCTAAAGGAAAACTCAGGAGAGAATACTAAAGTCATACTTCGCATATTTGTTTTTAAGTTTGAAAGAGCTACCAGTGAAAAGCACTACCCTTGTACCTTGGATTAACATCACTTTGCATTAAGAGCAGCATAGGATAACAATGGATACCATCCCTATAGCACAGAAGGTATACACGTTAAGACAAAGAACAAAACCAAAAACAGTTGTTCTTACCTGTTTGCTGCGCCTTAAGTAGTCCCAAAGCCAACACGCAGGGCCAAGGCTGAAATTACAAAGTATATGCATTCCAAGACAGTTATGGGATAAGACCTAAATAACTCAACATATTTACTGTGCTCT